AAAAGTTCCTAAATCTCTTCAAACAACTCCACATCAACATACCTTTGGCGGAAGCATTGGAACAAATGCCTACCTATGCTAAATTCTTGAAGGAGTTACTTACAAAGAAGCGCAAGTGGTCCGATATTGAGAAGGTAACCCTCACCTCTGAGTGTAGTGCAGTGATTCAAAATAAAATACCGGAGAAAAGAGACGATCAGGGGAGCTTCACCATTCCTTGCACCATTGGAGATAAGGATTTCACTAAATCCCTTTGTGATCTTGGAGCGGGGATCAACTTGATGCCTTACTCAGTTTACAACAAATTGGGGTTGAGAGATGTGATTAAACCAACACGGATCACCCTCCAATTGGCGGACAGATCAGTGAAGATTCCAAAGGGTGTGGTGGAGAATGTCCTAGTCAAAGTGGAAAGGTTCATCTTCCCGGCAGATTTTGTGATCTTGGAGATGGATGAGGACCTGGAGGTGCCTCTCATTCTTGGAAGACCATTCCTCGCCACAGGTGGTGCACTTATAGATGTCCAAAAGGGAGAGCTTACATTCAGACTATGTGGGGAAGAGGTAAGATTCAATGTTTACCGATCAAGTAAGTATCCCGACTCTTATGATGATGTATGTGTGGTGGATGTGATAGAATCATGCACCGAAAAGGTTCTCAACAATGATTATGATTCTGATTTTGATGCTTTTGATGATGATTTTGAACATGAAAACCTAACCGTGTCAAAAAGGGCACAATTGCTTGAGGCTTTACCGATGCAGATTGAGAATGAAGGAGAAACTCAAACTCGCCAAACGTTAGTTCCATCAAGAATTCAACTACCAAAGCTAGAGCAAAAGCCACTACCTAGTCACTAGGGGTGGGCATTCGGTCAACCAAACCGAAATAATGTATACCGGGTTTCCGAGTTCCATCAAACCTCAAACCGAATTCGAACCGAATTATAATTCGGTTCGGTTTTGTATGAAAAACCGAAATTGTGAGGTTAGCTTGTATTTTTTCTCTTTCAAATTATTTTTCACCCCTAATGTAAACAATAAATATGCAATTAAATGCATCATCAATGATAAAATCAAACATTTCAACACATAACTCATAAAACACTAACATAATTCAAATATTTCAGTCTCATAATAAGTACAAACATAAAAATTCACCATTAGAAACTTGCAATTATAGTAATTCGGAAAATCGGTTCGGAATTCGGAAAATCGGTTCGGTCGAAAGGACCTTGGTTTCCGAACCGAAGTAATGTTATTCGGTTTCGGTTCGGTTTGAATTCGGTTCGGTTCGGTTTTACCGAACCGTATGCCCACCCCTACTAGTCACCTCAAATATGCATATTTGGGTAAGGATTCCACATTGCCTGTCATAATTTCGGCTTCACTAACCCTTTCTCAGGAACAAGAGCTTTTGAGAATCTTGCAACGACATATCAAAGCCATAGGATGGACTATTGCCGATTACGGGTATAAGTCCAACTTTTTGTATGCATAAGATACTCATGGAAGAGGGTTACAAACCCTCAATCCAAGCCCAAAGGAGGCTCAATCCACATATGAAGGAAGTTGTGAGAAAGGAGGTAATGAAACTATTAGATGCAGGAATTATTTACCCTATTTCTGACAGCAAGTGGGTCAGTCCTGTGCAGGTTGTCCCAAAGAAAGGTGGAATTACCGTGGTGAGAAATAACAAGGATGAACTCATACCAACTCGAACTGTAACCGGATGTCGTGTTTGTATCGATTATAGGAAGTTAAATGAGTCAACCCGAAAGGATCACTTTCCACTTCCTTTTATCGATCAAATGCTTGAACGGTTGGCTGGTCATTCTCACTATTGCTTTTTAGATGGCTACTCCGGCTACTTTCAAATTCCAGTTGCACCAGAGGACCAAGAGAAGACAGCTTTTACATGTCCCCAAGGAGTTTTTGCATACCGAGAATGCCATTTGGGTTGTGCAACGCACCGGCTACCTTCCAACGGTGCATGATAGCCATCTTCTCCGACATGATAGAAACAAGTCTTGAAGTTTTCATGGATGACTTCTCAACTTTTGGTACCAATTTTGAACATTGTCTAGCTAACTTGTCTAAGGTTTTGCAGCGATGTGAAGAGACCAATTTAGTCCTTAACTGGGAGAAGTGTCACTTTATGGTGACGGAAGGTATAGTACTTGGACATCGCATTTCAGCTAGGGGGATTGAGGTTGACAAAGCTAAAATTGAAGTTATAGAACGACTTCCCCCACCTAGCAACGTGAAAGGGATTAGAAGTTTCTTAGGACATGTCGGTTTTTACCGGAGGTTCATTAAAGATTTTTCTAAGATCACTAATCCCTTATGTGAATTGTTAGCAAAAGACAATGCTTTCAACTTTTCTGATGAGTGTTTGCAGGCTTTCAACAAGCTTAAGAAGGAGCTCACATCCGCACCCATCATCACAGCACCCGATTGGAATCTTCCATTTGAATTAATGTGTGATGCTAGTGATTATGCAGTAGGGGCTGTTTTGGGGCAGCGGAAAGAAGGGAAGTTACATGTCATTTACTATGCAAGTAAACTCCTTAATGATGCACAAATGAATTATGCGACAACTGAGAAAGAATTACTTGCGGTAGTTTATGCATTTGAGAAGTTTCGATCATATTTAATGGGTTCAAAAACTATTGTGTACACTAATCATGCAGCCATCAAACACCTTCTTTCTAAGAAGGAAGCCAAACCTAGCTACTTCGTTGGGTTCTTCTTTTGCAGGAATTTGACATAGAAATCCGTGACAAGAAAGGCTCAGCGAACTTGGTAGCTGACCATCTCTCAAGGTTAGAAGCAAAATCACTTCCAATTGACAATTTGGATATCGATGACTCATTCTCCGATGAGCAACTCTTTGCCATAATAACGAAGGGAGCCCCTTGGTATGCTGACATTGCAAACTACCTAGCAACAGGTAAGCTTCCTGAAGTATCTTACCAACAACGCAAGAAATTGATCACTATTTCAAAGAATTACATATGGGATGATCCATTCTTGTACAAGCATTGTGCTGATCTTATGATAAGACGTTGCATTCCTGAGAATGAAGTCAATAGTGTACTCAACTTTTGTCATAGCTTAGCTGTAGGAGGTCACTTCGGACCTCAAAGGACAACAGCAAAAGTCTTACAATCAGGTTTATATTGGCCTTCTTTATTTCATGATGCCCGTAACTTTGTTGCTGCATGTGATAGATGCCAAAGAACAGGTAATATCTCATCTAGGATGGAAATGCCACAAACACCAATCTTGGAGGTGGAGATGTTTGATGTATGGGGTATAGACTTCATGGGTCCTTTCCCATCATCCTACAACAACAAATACATTCTCGTCATTGTCGATTATGTATCAAAGTGGGTGGAGGCAGCCGCATTACCAACCAATGAATCAAAGACGGTGGTGAACTTCATGAGAAAGAACTTGTTCACCCGTTTTGGAGTACCACGAGTTGTCATAAGTGATGAAGGAACTCATTTCACAAGTCGTGAGCTGAATACACTCTTGGCCAAATATGGAGTCAAACATCGCATTGCCACACCATACCATCCACAAACCAGCGGGCAAGTTGAATTATCCAACCGCGAGTTGAAGCACATCTTAGAGACCACCGTTAACTCCTCTCGGAAGGATTGGTCGAGGAAGTTGGATGATGCATTGTGGGCCTATAGGACTGCCTATAAAACCCCATTAGGCATGTCTCCATATCGGCTAGGGTTTGGCAAAGCATGTCACTTACCAGTGGAGCTCGAACACAAGGCGTATTGGGCCATCAAGAAGTTGAATTATGGTATGAAACAAGCTGGAGAAAAGAGACTCCTTCAATTGAATGAGCTAGATGAGATCCGCCTCAACGCCTATGAGAATGCCTGAATCTATAAGGAGAAGACGAAAAGGTGGCATGATCAACACATTGTAAGGCGAGAATTCAATGTAGGCGACAAGGTATTACTCTTCAATTCTCGTCTCCGTCTCTTTCCGGGCAAGCTGAAATCAAGGTGGTCCGGACCGTTCACGGTGACCAAAGTCTTCCCTCATGGCGCAATCGAGATTCTTGGTGACAATGGAGTGTTCAAGGTGAATGGCCAGAGACTCAAACAATACATAGAAGGAGCCTCCCTGCTGGAGATCTCCTCTTATCGCCTAAACTAAGCCATTCCAACGTCGAGCTAATGACGTTAAACAAGCGCTTCTTGGGAGGCAACCCGAGGTTTGTTTTTCTTTCAAATTTTTTTTTTATAATTTCACTTTTTAGGACGTTTGAAGCATCTCCATAAAGCTTGAGCTCAAAATTCATTGAGGAAGGTATTTTTCCAATTTTATAGGTGCATTGGCAGAATGCTTTGATGGAAATGTGCAGTGGAGAAATGCTTTTTTGCAATGGAGAAATGCAGTGTGGGGTGGAAGGAAACACTAATGGACTTGAAGAGCTAAAATGCAATGAAGAAGAAAGAAGGACCATGAAGCGCTTTTCTTTTGTAAAAAAAAAAACCCAAAGAGGTGTGCACGGGTGCACAACCCAAAAAACAAAAAATACAAAAAAAAGAGAGACAGAGGGCGGGTGTGTTCTCCCGCAGAAAAAAAAGGGGAAAGGAAAAGAAAAAAAATCGAAAAAAAAGAAAGAGGAAGAGAGTGGGCGGGTGTGTTCTCCAAAAAAAAAAAAAAAAAAAGAATTGGCGAGAGTCTCGCCAGCAGAAAGGAAAAAAAGTATATAAAAAAAAAGAGAGAGAGAGAACAGAAACGCGAAAGACAAACAAACAAAAAAAAAGGGAAAAGAAACTCTCGGGTGATCTCCTCCCACGTTTTTTTCTCCTTCTTCTTCTCCCTCTTCGTTTTCTCTTTCGTTCGTTCTTCTTCTTCCTTCTCCCTCTCCTTCGTTCTTCTGCTGATTGTTCCAAAAATCACACCAAAAATTCCAAATTAATCCCAAACTTCAGTCCATCCATCAATTTCGTGACCCACGCTCTCTATCAACCCAGCGAATACTCCTCATTCCTCCTTCTCCATCACTTTTGCCCAATTTCTAGGGTTTTCTAAAACCCAAATTCTGCTCATCAAATTGACAGAAATCCTTCTCCATCAACTCGAAATGACTCTAGTGCTCATGGGTTCGTCAAGAATTGATTAGAATGGAGCATGTTGCTCGTTGCAAGCTATGGTGAAGTACGAAGTTTGAGCAAAGAAGAAGACAACTTGGTTCTGCTCTATATTTAGAGGAAATAGCTTAGGGAAGCAGCCATGGTGAGGAAGAAAATTGCTGGAGTTGGCCACTTTCAAGTGGTTGACCGTAGCATTGATGGAGAGACAGAATTCAGAAAGTGGGATATGACTTATGAGCTATGTCTTCTCTCTGAAACCGGTCCAGTTCCAGAGCCTAGACCAGAAGTTGCCGGAATTGAAGTTCCCCCCACATTTCATAGGGTTGTCAGAGGCACCATTGGGAAGAAGAGAGTGGAAAGAGTTATTGACATGCCTCTACCGGAAGGATCAAAACTTCAGATGATGGGAGACTATGTTCAAGCCACAATGGACGCCTTTGATGATCCAATGGAGCTGCCATCTGAGCACCAAAGCTGCAGCAGTCATGTACCTCCACCACAAGCCAAGGAAAGTGCCAAAACCAAGCCGGGAGAGCCACCATTGAAGCAAACACGTTCCAGCAACAATGCACCTCAACCGGAAAGAAAACAGAAGGCTAAAGACAACAACAAGAAGTCACCATCAAAGAGGCAAGCTCCCTCACAACCTACAGCCCAACCGAGAAGCAAAAAGGTCAAAACTACTACAAAATCAAAATCGGCAGCAACAAAAAAGTGGAGTAGATGTCTCAGCAACCTTCGGTAAACCTCTCATTCCTCCTGAACATATGGAGAAATACAAGATTCTTCTTGCTCGGCCGGTAATTCCCTCTCAATTTATGGATATGGATGTGCTGAAAATCACTAGAATAGAGGAGAATGTTCTGAATTACTTCAAGAATATGGGATGGCCTAGATTCCAAGAGATGAGATTTCCTACTTATGAGAAATTGACAAGGGCGTTTCTAGCTACATTTGTCTTTCCACAAGCACCCCAACACAAGGCACTCACCCGGGGGACATCATTGCTCACCTACAACAACAACTGGAGCAACAAGATCATAAGTACCACCAGCAGCAACAACAAATCAACATCCAGCATCAATTTATTCAGAAAATGGCCGAGCATCTCAAGAAGAGTGGAATTGATTGCCCAAGTGACCTTCCACCACCTCCCACCTCATCCGCCTAGCATTTGTCCCGAGGTTTTTCATCTTTCCCTTTGCTTACTTTTTCATTTTTGTGTTAGCATGTTTAGAGTCTAGGTACAGAACATTAGGGACAATGTTCCATCCTAAGTGTGGGTGGAGAGTTTTAGTTTTGTTTAGAGTATGTATTGTACATAATGTTTGGTGATTGTGAGTCGTTCCCACTGTATTTGATGTGTTGTGTCTTGAACTTGATAGGGTAGAATGTCGTTGCTTGGAATGATTGTGTGAATGGTTTGTGAACTTATTATGCTTATCCCAAGTTAACCTTGAAATGCATAACTTATGTTTGCATGTAGGATTGCCTGTTTCACATGGTGTACCCTCATATTAAAATTCACTCACTTGAATTGAATTGTGCCCGAACTTAGGTAAAATTGAGTATAATTTGTATAGAGTAGGGTATGGCATCTAGTATTTGTGAGTTTGAACCTTCGATGTCAATTTCCTATTGTGTGAAGTTTTTTATTGCTTTATGTTTCGGTAATCTTGATCAAAACCACGAATGGATTGTGTTGTATGTATGCAAGCATAAACGATAGAGACAATTAGTACAACTCGAGCCAAAAAGCCTACCCTATCATTGACAACTAGGATCAACCTCTTTGAGACTTGGCCTTGTTTTTCGGTTCGATCACACCTCTCACCTTTACCCTTTTTTTGTATTCCCCCGTTGAACCTTCTCGCGAGGAATGAGGTCCTTTGTGTGAATATAGTGACCCATTTTCATTTTCATTTTCTTGTAAATAAAGTTGATGAGAGATGCATTTTGCCACTGCAGTATGCAGTTTGACACTGCATAGGCATTCTGCCACTGCACCTTCTTTTGCATCATTTTGTCTTCTACTACTTAGAAAAGAGGTATTGACCATCAAGTCTTTTAGTTTCATCCCCATTAAAAAAAACAGTAAAAAGAAGAAGAAAAAAAATCAAATAAAAAAAATTGAAAAAAAAGAGTAAAAGAGAAAGAGAAACGGGGCAAATAAATAAGGATCGATATCATCTTTGGGAATCAATGTTCTTCCCTTATTATTTAGTCTTAGTTTTGCTTATGTTATGCAATTTTTGTATTTGTTCAATGCCTCGATATTAGATAGTTCTTGCTTTGGGTCCACATTTGTAACTCATTCCTCGTGAGCATCACCATTTCCCTCCTATGAAACCTCACCTTAACCCTTAGCCTTACACACATATTACCCAAATGTTGTCATCTTGATATGCTTGTGTTTGTACTGATCGGTCCAACTGTGGTTGAAGTACAAGGTTCAGGTAAGCACTAGTAAGGAAAAAACTTGAGTGTAAACACCAACCCTTAAACACTTGTGTGATTGAGCGAAATACACATTCCTAGTGAGGAAATCTAGATGCCATGCTTTTACTCTTAACTTACCTTACTCTTTGTTTGAATGAGTTTTGGCACAATCCACTATTAGTGTGTTTATTCTAGGTGTAGGGTATATCATGTGATGGAGTGTAATCTAACTTGCAAGCCTAGGTGTGCATGGAAAGGTTGAATTTGACGATAGTGTATATACATAGATATCTACACCAAAGCATAGTAGGTCCACAGCTAGTCACACCGTCACTCAAGCAACAATGGTGTTAGTCGAGTCTTAGGAGTAGTGTGTCCTTTATTTGAGTCCTAGGAGTCTTAGTTGTATGTTTATTTGCTTCTCTTTCAATTCTTTCTCTCTTTTGCTTTGGGACAAGCAAATGCTAAGTGTGGGGTTGTGATAAGCTTCATAAACATATATGTATTTTGTACATAAATGATTGATCTTTATGTATGTATGTATGTATGTGTTTAAATTGCTCTAAATTAGTTCATATTGACCATGGAATGGCCCTAGTGTCATTACCAAGACATGTAGCGATTTAACACAGATTGAAGCTAAGATTGTGAACAAAACAAAGTGCGGTGGACGAATGCAGGTGCAGTGTCAAAATGCAGATGTGCAGAGGCAAACGTCCAGCAGGAGGCCAAATCGATGAAGACCCAAATCGAATTATTGTGGTTGGAATCTTCACTCAACTGTCAGCAACCCTTATAAATTATTGGGATTGGGTCAGATTTCTTGAAGTGAGCAAATGGATTTGGTGGCTCACCAATAGAGAAAATGATGCAAGAATTTATTGCAAAGAAAGAGACTTAAGCTAGCAGCAGCCTTCTCTTGGAAATGTGACCTGCAAGTGTCTTGTTTTGTGGGATTAAATCTGCAGAAAATGGATTTAAAAGGGGCAGCAACTAGGAGACTTGGGAGACACTTTTTGGAGACTAGTTTTAGACAGAAAATTCAAAAGGAGAGAGCTCACTTTGGCACACTTTGGAGTTGAGCATTTTGAAGAAAGGAAGACTCTTGTAAGTTGGGGATTAACTCCAACACTTAGTACTTTCTCTACTCCTTTGTTTTTGGTAGTTAGTCATCATGTTGAACATTAGCATGTTTATGTACTTTCTTTTCATCATGAACTAATCCCCCAATTTCTGGGGGAAACTTATGGATTTCATTATCTAGCCTCGATGTTTTAATCATGACTTGTTTTTCTTCCATTTTCTATCGTGTGGAATTGTTTAACGCTTTGTGTTGATTGGCCACCTTCACAATGATTTGTAGTTTTCTAGGTTAATAACAATAGTGAAAACCTAGTAACCGAACACATTTCGCACGACATAATTGCCTATCGAAGCGATAGTGGATTAAATAGGGAATTATGCAGTCATTTCAGGGATATCGTTCTTAAGGCTAATTGATTAATTCAGTTAACTACGATAGTAGAAATTGTCTTAATTAGTTAGTACGTGGTAATTCTCGATAGAGATGGCTATCAAATTATAGGTATCCCGATTGTAGAAATATGGATTAAATCGATTGACAAGGGTAATTAAATTTACTGAGGTAAAATAGTAAAATCTTGTGTTTCCCCCGGAACTCTACAATATCAATTTCTCCAAAATAGTTGATTTATCGAGTTACTTAATTTGTGCGATCTTGCAAATCATCACTTGATTACAACCTTTGCAATTCCTATAGTTTCTTGAACTAAATTTGTTAATTATTGAGTTTCACCAATCCCCTAGAGAACGATAATTTTACTTACACTTTATTACTTGTACGACACTGTGCACTTGCAGTTTTGTCGCCACTGTGCACTTACACTTTATTACTTGTACGACACTGTGCACTTGTACGGGAGGGCATTGTGTTGGGTCACAAAATCTCCAAGCGAGGGATTGAGGTGATCGAGCCAAATTGGAGACAATAAGAAAGCTCCCTCCTCCAACCACAATCAAGGGCATCAGGAGTTTCCTTGGGCATGTGGGGTTTAACCGACGTTTCATCGAGAACTTCTCGAAGATTGCATTGCCCTTGACCAAGCTTTTGGAGAAGGATGCCCCATTCCTTTTCACAAAGGAAAGTTTTGAAGCTTTCAACATCCTTAAAGAGAAGCTTACAAATGCTCCCATAATGGTCTCATCGGATTGGAACCTTCCCTTCGAGCTCATGTGTGATGCTAGTGACTATGCAGTGGGAGCGGTTTTAGGTCAAAAGCGGGGTAGATATTTTCAACCTATTTGCTACGCCTCAAAGACGTTGAATGATGCTCAAGAGAACTACACAACCACAGAGAAAGAGTTGTTGGCAGTAATCTTCACTTGCGATAAATTCAAGTCTTATCTGGTGCTTTCCAAGGTTGTTTTCTACATTGACCACTCCGCCATCCACTTCTTGATGAGAAAGGCGGATGCCAAGCCTCGACTGATTCGATGGATCCTGCTAATTCAAGTGTTCGATGTGGAGATCAAGGACAAAAAGGGTGTCGAAAACCTTGCAGTTGACCACCTCTCGCGACTCAAAGGATCGGGAGGTAGCACTTACCCAAGAGAGATAAATGACACTTTCCCCGATGAACGGTTAGTCGCCCTCGCCGCTGTAGAGGGTATCCCCCCGTGATTAACCGACTTCACCAATTTTCTGGTTGGAAGGCAGCTAAGCAAGGGGATGACTACACATGAGAGGAACAAGTTCTTCTCCGACCTCCGAGGCTACTTTTGGGATGACCCCCACCTTTTTCGAATTGGGACCGACATAGTCATTCGAAGGTGTGTATCGGAGGAGGAAATGGAGGATATTCTGAACCACTTTCATACAGGGCAAGCTGGAGGCCATCATGGAGGCAACCGAACTGCAAGAAAGGTGCTCTAGTCGGGATTCTACTGGCCGAGTCTTTTTTGGGATGCCTACAAATTCGTGAGTCATTGTGACAAATGCCAAAGGACAGGTAATGACTCTAACTGAAATGAGACGCCTTAAACGATTTCTATCACTTTTGAGATCTTTGATGTTTGGGGCATCGATTTTATGGGTCCTTTACCCTCGTATTTTGGTAACAAATACATTCTTATGGCCGTAGACTACGTCTCGAGGTGGGTTGAGGCTCAAGCTCGTCTGTGGATTTCTGAAAAATTTGTTTTCACGGTTCGGAAACCCGAGGGCCTTCGTTAGCGATCGAGGAACCCATTTCCAATGGCAATTCGACAAGCTACTCGATTTCTACGGTGCCACCCACCGGGTGTCCATGGCCTGTCACCCCCAAACTAGTGGACAAGTCGAGCTATGAAATAGGGAGCTGAAACAGATACTAGAAAAGACCGTGGATCAATCCCGCAAGGATTGGTTC